ATGGCATCAAATTCCAACACTTAATTTTCAAACCATAATGAATTTATACGTTGTGAATATCATTATGCAAGACATGAGTAATTGCATATGTAATGTTTCAACAGTCCAAATGAAGCATTTTAATCTCTAGCTTTGGACATTTTTTTTTTTTGCATTATTTTATTGTGTCTAATTCAAGCTAAAATTAATGATCTTTTCGCACATATGAACATAAAAAAGGTGAATCCTAGACAAAAATGATAAAAGCATATTAAGAATTATACCATGTGTTACATCTTGGATTCTTTGGTCATGCAAAACATTTTAAAACAAGTGAGCCAAATTAATGGTCTATCTCGGAAATTTTATTATCAAACCGAATAAAATTAAATTTACATTCTTTGGGATAGAGAAGGAGAAAGCAATTAGGTCACATAGAGAAAGAACTTAAGTGAGTGCATATCGATGAGATTGCTCTCAAATTAGGGCTAGCAGTTTTTGACCTAAATCACAAGGAGAAAATTTCTCACAAACATTGAATTCAATCTATTTTCATATAGTATTACAGAGTTGTTTATTGTGTATTTTCTTCCAAATCGTTCACGTTTATCAAGTAACATGAAAAATATGTTATCTAATTTTGTATAATATACCTATTTATTTAATGCACAGGCATACGTATAGATAGAAATATGTTACCTTTCACAATGCGTAAGATAATTTTTGAATAAATTGGATTATAGACAGGTATTGTTTATTGGAGTAGTAGTGCAAGAAAATTTGTTGTCGAGGGTTAAAATTTCCAGAATCTCTACCTTGCAAATACCTTGTTACTTGAGAACCTCCAGAAGTAGGAATGTTTCTTCAATTCTACTCCCATGAAAATATACAAGTCCATTCGTTTAATGTAGAATTGTTTCCTTCTCACACGTTTTGGAGTTTTACATGATTTATTATTTCCTTTAGATATTTTTTTAACACAAAATCATTGGCAATCCATTTTAATCCATGCTTTTAAAGCGTCACGGAGTTTCATATTTAAATACAATAAGTGAATTGCGTAGACAATAATCGACTCTACCAATAAGGTAAATATAAATATGGGGCTCCATTAATGGAATGGCTGAAAATAAAAAAGGTCTAAATTTTGACATAATCATATGCATCGGTTTGATAATTGATCATGATTAGAGTCCCCTGTTTTCTCTCCCGGAAGGAACCAGATTTGCTTCAAATGGCTCGTGTGAATATTTATTATCAATGGTATAATTTAAGCTAAATAAATAATTTCATTCTTGAAATTATATACTATGTTACACAAAGAGTTCAATTGGCACATACTCAAAATTTAATGATCAACCAACAGAGACAAAATGAATTGGTCCCATGCGAAAATGATTATCCAACTACTCCATGGAAAAATTTATGACAAAAGAAGCAATTTCATTATTTCATGTAACCTTAACTGATCAGAATTTCCTATAAATAGGCCAACTTACACTACTCCAAAGTGCACCTAAATCTTCATTTGTAGCAATGGATGTCCAAAGCGACTTACTGATGATTACTAGCACTGATGAATCTCCCGCCAATGGTCAGGTGGGCAGTTACACCGAAACCAAGATCAAGCGCTCTGATTTTCCCGAAGATTTTGCATTTGGTGCTGCAACTTCAGCTTATCAGGTATACGTGTCACAGATATATTTATTTGCTAGCGTACTAGTACTTGAGTTTTAATATTATGAATACATAATAGTATTAAACTTTTTTGATTTCGGTTAAAGACAAAAAGAAGAAGAAGAAGAAAAATTACTCATGTAATTTGCTTCTGTTCTTGCTTTTGCATAATTTGTTTTCTGGGTCTCATATAATTATGCAGATTGAAGGTGGATGGAATGCAGGAAGAAAAGGCATGAGTAATTGGGATGTTTTCACACAGAAACAACCTGGTCTCTTCCCTTTTTTTCTGTTTTCTTGTGTGTATATATATAATATAGACACAAAATAATAAGTGTATCTGTCTGTGTTAGATATTCATTGCTAATAAAACTTTTATTGGATTGGCAGGTGGTATTTCTGACGGTAGCACGGGCTGTGTTGCTATTGATCACTATAATATGTNGACACAAAATAATAAGTGTATCTGTATGTGTTAGATATTCATTGCTAATAAAACTTTTATTGGATTGGCAGGTGGTATTTCTGACGGTAGCAATGGCTGTGTTGCTATTGATCACTATAATATGTTTCGGGTATACTTCAGCAATTTTTATTATGTTATAATGCTTGGCACAGTGAATTAAATTAGGTAAAAAAAAAAATGTAAATGAAAAGATATTGCTCTGGACAAGATTAATAAGTTAAAACTCTTTTTCCTTGTATTGTCTACTAAAAGTTATTGCCACTTCGCACTAAACATGGACAAAGAGGTTATAGAAGGAAATGAAATACCTTTCTAATTTTCCCTCCATTTTGTTTACTTTAAATAAAAAGTTTGCCGCTTTTTAATTTTCATATCAATAGTTTTCATATTCCATTTACTCATAAGACAACAGAGGATAACATTTTTTTCTACTCTAGAACATTTCCACGCAAATTATATCCATCATATTTAATAATTCGCAGGAAGATGTGGCTTTGATGAAGAGATTGGGTTTGAATTCATACAGATTTTCAATTTCATGGCCTAGAATCTTGCCAGGCACGTTACTTCAAACTTTAAAAGGATTGAATTTGTGCATCATCTTGTGATGTACTATTATATGCGAGTTAAATTTTTATTTTAATTTGCATTCTATCTTGGTGTATTAGGGGGAAGTCTATGTACTGGCGTTTCCAAAGAAGGAATTCAATTCTATAATGATCTCATTGACGCACTACTGGCAGCAGGTATGTGTCAATTACATAATTCTTGTATTTGTTATTTCTTTAAAAACTTTTATTTGCATAATTTGCAATTGGAATTGGGTTCAATATTTGACACATATGTTTTTCTGTACTAATTTTTCATCTTACATATTAATATAATGAAAATATTATTAATTATCTCACATTCTTTCAATTTCTTTTGTGTAGGCATTGAGCCATATGCAACTATCTTTCACTGGGATGTTCCCCAATGTTTGGAAGAAGAGTATGGTGGTTTCCTAAGCAAGAAAATTGTGTAAGTAACTCACATGGCACATTTACTAGTAAGAAGTTTAAGAAATTTACGAAGTGAGTCCAGAGTTATAAGCAAATCTTTTATTTGCTCTAATATCCGTGAAGCGAAAAGAACAAATTTTATTTAAAGAAAAAATGGATTATAGCTTTATTAAAACAAAGGACCACCTTTTCCAAAGATCAAAGTACCAGCAACAATTTTTACCATATTTTGCCATTTTGTGTATCTATATTATAGGAAGGATTTTTGTGAATTTGCTGAGATTTGCTTCTGGGAGTTCGGAGATCGAGTGAAACATTGGATCACACTGAATGAACCATGGTCGTTTAGTGTTTCTGGATATGCGATTGGAACTTTCCCCCCTAATCGTGGTAAAGCTCCAACAACTACTGGAGAGGCTAAAAGGCATTCTTCTCTTCATAGATGTGCATTTAGATCTCTAATTGCTTGCAAGAATGGAGATCCCGGCCGAGAACCATA